GTTCTTAATGTACCTCACAGTATATTGGTGAAGTGATCTTACATAAACACACTAAAGAAAGTATGATTACAAGTTTGGATAGTGTTCACAATGAAAGGAACAGTACTTTAGGAGACCTCAACCTCAGCTGAAAGTCAGGAAAGGCTCCTCTATGAGAAGGTAATACTTCAGCTAATATGAAGGAAGAGTAGGAGGTTACCAAGTAAAGGGATTGGGGTGTGCAACAGAATAGAGCAAAGGCGCCAACTGAAGATGTCAAGAGAAACTTAGTTTGTAAAATGGCTCAGAATTTATCATAGACTGGGTTTGGGAGGTGATGAAGGAGTAGAAGGAATCAAGAAAGAGCTTTCAGTAGAAATTGAGAACCTGATGGCTGATTGAGCCATTCATTAGTGTAGGGAACAATAGAAAGAGTAGAAGCAGGCACAGAGGGGAATATTAAGAGTTGCATCTTGATATTCAAGTTGGCTTAAGTTGCCTTTGAGAAACCTACACAGAGATGTCTAGGAGGCAGTTGGATATAAGAAGAGAGGTTTTGGTTAGAGAGAGAAATTTGGAAGCCATTGTCATATATATAAGAATTGAAGCCATGATAGTGGATGAGTTTATAGGAAGAGAGTTTAGAAGGCAGCCCTTTGAGAAGTGCCAACATTTAATAGTTATGTAAAGGAGGGTGAAACAACGAAAGAGACTGAGAAGTATTCAGTGATACAGAAAGAAGGCCAGAAGTAAATTTTATCACTGAAACTAAGGGAAATGTGTGTTTCAAGAAGGAGGGGGAGTGGTCATCACTGTTAGATGTTACTGAGAGTCCAAGAATGACCACAAGAGTCATGAAGGCATCAGGAGGTCTCTGGGAAACTAGGGAAAACTGTTTCTAAGAAGAGGTAATGAGAGGCATGTATTGAAGACAATACCAGATGAGTCTCTAAGGAGAGAGTGAGTATAGACAGCTCTTTCAAAAAGATTAATGGTGATATATCAGAGAGAGGGTAGTCGCTGGAGAGAACTGCGGAGTGGAGGGAGGAAGAGAGGATTTTTTTCTTTTTAGTTGAAATGCTTGAGGATGTTTAAAGGCTATCAGGAAGGCTCCAGTGCAGTGGGAGAGGTTGAAGCTGCAAGAGAGGGAGCTGGTTAGGTCCCTAAGGAGGCCAAGAAGATGGATTATAAATTATGCTCAGGTGAGAGGTTGGTCTTAGATGAGCTCCTTTAATCTAATAGGGGAGAGGAAGAAGAGGATGAGGCAGATCAAAGCTGACGTATTTATAAGTTTGGAAGCAGAAAGTTGAGGGGGTTTTTATCTGATGGCTTTGCATAAAAGTCTGTACTAGTTCTAAATTTTGTGATTGTATGATATAGTAGTGATAATAATAACATTTGTGGACTGATTTCTATGAGTTAGTTATGTGTGTTATAGTGTGTGATCTCTGTAGACAATCTGCCTGGGATTTCAATCCTGACCTTACCGTTACCTTTGTGACCTTGAGCCATGTGACCTTGAGCTAGATTTAATCCTCTCTGGGCCTCAATTTCTTCTGTAAATGGCAATAAGATATAGGATTAAATGAGTGCGTGTGAACATATATAGATATATATGTATATGTTTATTTATAGTGCTTAATGTGGAGTTGATATTTGGTCAGTGTGCCCTAAATGCTAGCTAGTAAAAACAGCAGTGATAGTAGCGACTGTCAGCCATCAGCTTCTGGCACTGCCCTTATTGTTCTCTTTTGATGATGTGGTGGTAGTATTGAGCCCTGTTGTACAGATACGGCAACAATCAGAGATGAAGTGATTTATTTGGGGCCAGACAGCTAAATAGATGAAAACCAGATTTCAAACTAGATCTGTCCTGCTTCAGACCTACACTTTTACAAGTTCTGAAAGCAGCTTATCTAGAATATTTCTTCTGTAGCTCCCTTGATACTTGCAATTTCAGGGTTAACCTTATGTAAAAATATGAAGTAAACAAAGTCAGTTGGTCTTTCATAGCAGGGTCTTGCCCCTGGCCAGCAGACCTGTTCTGTTTTCCCCAGCTCCCACCCCTGTCCTGCAAATCTACTCTTCCTTTACTGAAATCCTGCCATATTCTGGTAGTTTCCCCCATCTGAATCTTTCTCTTTCATTCTTAGTTTATATTGGCCATTTTTTTCTTTTAAAATTTGTGTCAAAGGTTGTGTGAGTTCAACTTGAAATGAGTGAATTAATGGTAGAGGGTATAATTTGTCCTGGGTAGTTTAAGGGCGGGGAGGGAGCATAGTCCCTTTAGTTCTTCCTTGGAGTAATCTGAAGAATGAAGTGATGGAGATTTTGTGACGAGTTTGGCCCTTAGACTTTTTCTTAAAAACACCTGCATGGCATTTACAATAATCATTGAAACACATACTCCCTTAACTCACTTTTCCTTGATGATATAGCTTGTTCCTTTGTTCATGGCCTGTTTTGTGATTAAATTGCCTCCCCTGTCTGCCTCTTAATACCTGATGTTCTTTCAACTTTCCTTTTTAAAACTTACAGACTTTCTCTAATGTTTTTAAACTTAGATACTTTTCCTGATGCTTTATATTCTACTGCAGATGGTTTATTTTATGAAACATCTTGTGTTGCAACATGGTAACTCCTGAGAACATTGTCAGCCCCTATGTGAAGAATGTGAAATTCTATAGAAGGAAGCTGTTAAGTACAATTATTTTTTAAACTCAGTGTAATTATAATAGAATGTTATTGTGTTACTTTTGGGGGGAGAATTGAGATAATACCACTTCAAAGTAAAGCAATTTGAGATACTGCCATGGACTAATGTATTTTTCATGATTAGAATACTTTCATTGTTGGATCCCCTGATAAATTTTAATTTCCTCTTAGTCCCATATTGTTCTGTAGTCCTAGGGGAATGAGAGTTCTTTCCAGAAGAGTTAACAGTTGATTTTGGCTTCCTAGGAGTTGGCTCTGGTAAATCACTGCTTTCTTTTTCTGACTTTTAACAGCATTATTGAAATATAGTTTATATTCCACATGATTCACCCATTTAAAATACAAAATTCAATTGTTTTTAGTAAGTTTATAGAGTTGTGTAACGTTCCTAACAATCCAGTTTTAAAAGTTATCCATCGCCCTAAAAACTTTCATTGAACCTATTTGCATCAACCTCACTCCCTCTTCTCTAGCCCTTGTAACCACTGATTTGCTTACTGTCTCTATAGATTTCCCTTTTGTGGACATTTCCTATAAATGCAATAATAAAGTATGCTGCTGTTTTATGCATCTGGCCTCTTTCACTTAGCAAAATGTTTTTGAAAGCCTCTTCAGCCACGTTGTAACATGTATTGGTAGCTCATTGCTTTTTATTTCTAGTGTTTAATTGTGTGAATATTCCACATTTGGTTTATTCATTCATCAGTCAATGACTATTATTTCCATTTGCGGGTATGATATGAATAATGTTGCATTAAACATTCACGGGCAAGTCTTTGTGTGGACAGATATTTTTGTTTTACTTGGGTAGATTCCTGGGGATGACGGAATTGTGAGGTTGTATGCTAAGTTTATGTTAAACTGTTTAAGAAGCAAACTATTTTCCAGAGTGGCTGAATAATTTTACATTCTCAGCAGCAGTGAGTGAAGATTCCAGTTTCTCTACATCCTTGACAGCACTTGGTGTTGTCTTAGCTATAGCCATTACAGTGGATGTGTAAAGGTATCTTACTGTGGTTTTACTATGCAGTATCCTTCCTAATGAGTAATAATGTTGAGCATATTTTACCCATTTTAATAGGTTGTTTGTCTTTTTATTATTGAGTTGTGATGGTTCTTTATGTATTCTGTATACAAGTCCTTTATCAAATATGTGATTTATAAATATTTTTTTCAAGTCTGTACCTTAGTAATTTATTTTTTAAATTAAATGTTTTGAATCACATAAGCTTAAAAATTTTAATGCAGTCCAGTAGTTGTTTTATGTTTTATGGTATGGGTGCTATATCTAAGACATCTTGGACTGACTCAAGGTTACAAAGGTTTTCTCAGTTTATTTCAAGAAGTTTTACAGTTTTAGCTCTTACATTTAGGTCTGTGGTACATTTTGAGTTGATTTTTGTGAGTGTTATGAGGTAAGGATCTGAGTTACATTTTTGCATATTAATATTGAATTGTTCTCACACTATTTATTGAAAAGATTATTCTTTTTCCTGTTTGTCTTGTACGATTGTTGAAAAGCACTTGACCATAAATAGAAGGGCTTATTTCAGAACCCTAAGTCCTGTGCCATTTTTCTTGTGGCCCATCTTTATTCTGGTACCATACTGTCTTGATTACTATAACTCTATGGCAAATTCTGTAATCAGATAGTGTGAATTCTCCAAATTCTTTTTTTCAATATTCTTCTGGCTATTCTAGCACTTTCCCTTTTCTTGTATTTTAGAATTAGTTAGTATCAACAGAAAGCCTGCTGGAGTATTGATTGGGATTGCTCTGAATCTATAGATCGATTTGGGAAAATTTTCATCTTAACAATATTGAATCTTCCAATCCATGAACATTGTATATCTGTCCATTTATTTAGTTTCATTTGATTTATTTCATCAGCAACTTATAGTTTTCAGGTTATAGTTCCTGCACATATATTATTAGATTTATATATAAACACTTAACTTTACAATTGTGCTATTGTTATGATGCTTTAAAAAAATCAGCTTATTTCTCATTTCAAGTTTTGCTCAAATCCTATCAGTTGAATTCTCCCATATTATATTTGAATCTGGCCAAATGTTTGCCAAGTAGTGTCTTAAAAAATAGAATAAGTAGCCTCTAATATTTTTCATTTATAGTTACTAAGAGGTAAAGAAAAAAAGGAACAATTTTTTTACTTCGACTCAGTGACTGGTTAGTAGTTGTTTAGTAAGACTGTTGTATCAGTCCGTGTACATTATTGATAATGTGAAACACGCTGACCTTTCTGTCAGGAAAGGGAGAGACATAACCTCCTATTGGTTCTTCTGTAGGTGTTGCAGCTTCCCTGGAAGTCTCCGAGAGCCCTGGGAGTATCCAAGTGGCCCGCGGTCAGACAGCAGTCCTGCCCTGTACTTTCACCACCAACGCTGCCCTCATTAACCTCAATGTCATTTGGATGGTCATTCCTCTTGCCAATGCCAATCAGCCTGAGCAGGTACTCCTCTTCCATCCTGTGCTACTCTAGAATATTAATCTTTTTAAAGGAGGCAAGTAGGAAAGCATCCTGAGTACATATTTGATTTCTAGAGAAAGGTGGCACTTTATGTGCTGCTGCTGTTTTAAGTCTTGCTCCTGTATTAGTAGTCAAGTGTCAGAAGAAGCAATCCTCTTTTTAAAAGACCTAAAAAAAAATAGCAGATGTCAAGGGGATTTTTTGGAGAATTTTATGTAGGAACCTGGAGTTTCATCAAAAAACATCATTGACAGGAATACCAAGACAATATATACCAAAGCAAAATATATTTGGAAAGGAAGAGACTGGAACTAACATAGGTGGATGAGATGTGATAATAATAAGAAAGTAACATTATATAATAGTACTTGAATTATTTGGCTAATTTAACAAATACTTTCAAATAAACAAAGCCAGCCAGGCATACTGGAGCCTCAAATAGGGTACATGAAATTAGAAGCTACTACCTAATAAGGTATATCAATTATGGGTAAAAGACCCATAATATGTGATACCCACTGCAGAAAATAATGCTCAGAAAATTAATGAATTGTGATTATGGCTATACCTTCATTCCATAAGTTAACTTCTTCCTTATATGAAGTTCTTCTGCTTCAATAAGCTTATTACTACCTAAATATATTTGATAAGCTAAATTTCCTGAAGGGAAGGATTGTCAGGAAAGGGTAAGGATATAACCTCCTATGCCTTCTTCTGGTGAGTGAATGAATAGACATATTTAATAGAAACTTCTTGTATTTCTTTAAGCTATAGAACTTTTGTAATTGGACTGAGACTTTGAGATCATTTTGTTCAGGCTTATCATTTTAGGAGTCAATGATTGAGTCAAAGAGGCAAAGACAGACGACCACAGTTACGCAGACATTTACTGGTAGAGCTGGAATAGAACCAGGTCCCTCACTCTGAGCTCAAAGGGCTTTTTGCAACACAATTCTAAGTCCTCTCCCATAAACAGTTAACTTTAATAATAGAAGATGACACAAGAACAGCAATGATGGGCTTATAACTCTTCTTCCCTTTTATGACATTCATCTATATTTGGTCATTAACTGTGATCTATTATTTTGTGACCTAGCAAGCATGAGAATGGCAGTGCTAATTTAAAAATATTTTAATTTGGAACTTTTTGAACTGGTAAAAATATTTATGGGCTGATAGTAGCATAGCATAAAGATGCTTTCTATATTCTGATGAGTTAGGTAAGGAAACAATGTTATTCCACTTTGGTATGTAAGAATTTAGAATCCCTAAGTACTTATGGACATAGTTATAGTAAGAACTTGATGACAACTCTAATAAATAAAATTTCTTAATGTTTGGTGCAGTCTCTTGTCTACTAGATAGTTGTAATGTGTCTGGAAGGAGATGCAGTGGCCGATTTATTTACTTTGCTTTTTTTGCAGGTCATTCTGTATCAGGGTGGACAGATGTTTGACGGTGCCGCCCAGTTCCATGGTAGGGTAGGATTTACAGGCACCATGCCAGCCACCAATGTCTCTATCTTCATTAACAACACTCAGCTATCAGATACAGGCACCTATCAGTGTTTGGTTAACAACCTTCCAGATAGAGGGGGCAGGAACATTGGGGTCACCGGTCTCACAGTTTTAGGTGAGTGACAGGAAATGTTCCAAGCACTTTGGCTTTATGTGTGAATCTCCTCTGAAGCATATTTACTTCTGCCTGTCCTGTACTCTCCATCTGCTTGTGTCTTCCTCCTTTCTTCTCTCCTCTTAGCGCACCTTAACTACTTCTGCAATCCTCTTAGTCTCCCCACCCTCACTGTTTCAGGTAGCTCCCTAAAGGTGGTATAAAGTACCATCGTAAGTGGCCTCTCACTTTCCTTAAGCTTCTGCAAGATAGGACTATTGTTGAGAGCAAATTCAATCAAGAATTATTTATTATGAGTATGAAACACAAATCTCAGCATATGTGGAAATATGTTAACTATTACTTTATGTCTGTGTAACCAGTAGGCTCACTACAGTTCTTGGTGTACATCTCTTTTCCTGGCATAATTTTATTCATACTTCCTTTCATTCTCAAAAGTATCCTGGTTTAAATGATAAATTATATAATCAATTTGGTCTTCTTTTTTTCTTTTTTCTCTAATTTTCATTTTTTAAAAATTTATTTATTTTTTCAAATATATTTGTCTCTGCCTTCCTCTCACCACTTTCCTGTGCTCCCTCCCTCCCTCAACTCTTCCCCTTTGGTTTTGTCCATGAGTCCTTGCTATATGTTCCTTGACATTCCCCTTCCCTTCCTTTTCCCCCCTGCCCCCGCCTCCCTCCTTCCCTCTTGTCTCTGTTGTTTTCTTTTCCTTTGAGTGTTGCTGGTCCTATTTTCCTTGCATCTTTGTATTGTTGGTTAGGTTCCACTTATAGGTGAGATCATGTGGTATTTGTCTTTCACCCCCAGGCTTATTTGGCTTAGCATAATGCTCTCGAGTTCCATCCATGCTGTCGTGAAGTATAGTAGTTCTTTTTTTTCTGCTGCGTAGTATTCCATTGTATAAATGTACCATAGTTTTTTGATCCAGTCATCTACTGATGGGCATTTAGGTTGCTTCCAACAAACACTAGGCTATTGCAAATTGTGCTGCTATGAACATTGAGGTGCATAGGTTCTTTTGAATTGGCGTTTTGGGATTCTTAGGGTATAGTCCCAGCAGGGGAATCGCTGGGTCAAAAGGCAGTTCCATTTTCAGCTTTTTAAGGAAATTCCACACTGCTTTCTGCAATGGCTGCACCACTCTGCATTCCCACCAGCAGTGTACTAGTGTTCCCTTTTCTCCACAGCCTCGCCAGCACCTGCTGTTTGTTGATCTGTTTATGATGGCCATTGTGACTGGTGTGAGGTGGTACCTCATGGTGGTTTTGATCTACATTTCTCTGATGGCTAGTGATGCCGAGCATCCTTTCAAATGTCTCTGGGCCCTCTGTATCTCCTCCTAGGAAAAGCATCTGCCCAGGTCCTTTGCCCACTTTTTGATTGGATCGTTTGTCTTCTTGGAGTGGAGTAAAGTGAGTTCTTTATATATCTTGGAGATCAAACCCCTGTCTGAGGCATCATTGGCAAATATATTTTCCCATATGGTTGGTTCCCTTTTCGTTTTGCTGATGTTTTCTTTAGCTGTGCAGAAGCTTCTTATTTTGATGAGATCCCACTTGTTTATTCTTTCCTTTATGTCCCTTGCTTTAGGAGACATATCCGTGAAAAAATTGCTGCGTGGGATATCTGAGAGTTTCCTGACAATGTTCTCCTCTACAACTTTTATGGTGTTGCGAGTTATATTTAAGTCTTTTATCCATCTTGAGTTTATTTTTGTGTATGGGATCAGCTGATGATCCAATCTCAATTTTTTGCATGTAGCCGTCCAGCTCTCCCAACACCATTTGTTGAAGAGGCTATTATTGTTCCATTTTATGCTTCTGCCCCCTTTGTCAACTATTAGATGCCCATATAGATCTGGGCTTATTTCTGGACTTTCTATTCTGTTCCACACTGGTCTATGGTCAATTTGGTCTTAATACCAAGACCAAATAGACTCAGGGCCTTTTCCAAAGTTATACAGACAATAAACAACAATAAAGCTTAGATTAAAAATGTAGGTCTCTTTATTCAAATCAGTATTCTTTCCATTATACTGGCAAGTTAGATTATCTAATACTCAATTAAATTCTTTCTAAACATTTTATTTCTCAATTCCACTACCTCCGAAATGGATACTTCTGGTAGAAGTGGCTAAGTTCAGTTCATTTTGGGAGACTGAGGAAGTACTTATCAATAGGAAAAACTGATGCTTTTGATGGTCTATCATCCTACTCGAATCTCAGAATCTACATACATGTTCCTTGGCAAACTCTCACCTTTTCTTTTCCATTACTGAGTCATTTGAGGACATCAGTATTGGAGGTTGTTGCCATTTTTCTTCTTTGGGTGAGGCTATGCTGTATCCACGGTGCCTTGTTCTAGTTTTCAAATAGAATAAGGAGACTAAGAATGAAGTTGGAGATTTCTATCCTAAAAGAATTACTCATTCTAACATATTAAAATTATAGACTTTAAAATTGAGTGCTGAGTACTATTGGAATTTAATATTATTCTGATGCTTATACCTGTAAGTTAGATAACTAGTTTCCCATATTCTCTAAGTTTATTTTATTTATTTATTTATTGTTTTTTTCTTGTTCAAATACATGTGTCTCCATTTTCCTACCACCACTTTCCCCAGCCCCAACCACCCCCACCTCCCACTCTCAATCCTTGCCCACTTTGGCTTTGTCCATGGGTCCTTTATACATGTTCCTTGATTTGACCCTTCCCCTTCTTTTCCCTGTTACACCCCTCCCTCCATCCCTCTCATTACCTTTGGTTTGTTTTTTCTTTCAATGTTGCTAGTTATATTTTCCTTACTTATTTGCTTTGTTGCTTAGGTTCCACTTACAGGTGAGATCATACGGTATTTGTCTTCAACCCCCTGGCTATTTCACATAGCATAATGCTCTCCAGTTCCATCCATGCTGTTGTAAAGGGTAGTAGCTCTTTCTGCGGCATGGTATTCCATCATGTAAATGCACCATAGCTTTTTGATCCACTCATTTACTGATGGGCACTTAGATTGCTTCTAGCACTTGGCTATTGAAAAATGTGCTGCTATGAACATTGGGGTGTATAGGTTCTTTTGAATTGGTGTTTCGGGATTCTTAGGGTATAATCCCAGCAGTGGAATCTCTGGGTCAAAAGGCAGTTCCATTTTTAGCTTTTTGAGGAAATTCCAAAGTGTTTTCCACAGTGGCTGCACCAGTCTGCATTCCTGCTAACAGTGTACTAGGGTTCGCTTTTCTCTACAACCTCAATAGCACTTGTTGTCTGTTGATTTGTTTATGATGGCCATTCTGACTGGTGTGAAATGGTATCTCATTATGGTTTTAATTTGCATTTTTCTGATGACTAGTGATGATGAGAATCCTTTCATATGTCTCTGGGCCCTGTGTATGTCCTCCTTGGAGAAGTGTCTGTTTAGGTCCTTTGCCCATTTTTCAATGTTTGTTTGTGTTCCTAGAGTGGAGTCATATGAGTTCTTTATATATTTTGTAGATCAAACCCCTGTCCGAGGCATCATTGGCAAATATGTTTTCCCATATGGTTGGTTCCCTTTTCATTTTGCTGATGTTTTCTTTAGCGGCACAGAAGCTTCTTATTTTGATGAAGTTCCATTTGTTTATTCTTTCCTTTATGTCCCCTGCTCTAGGGGACATATTGGCAAAAATATTCTTGCATGGGATATCTGAGTTTCTGCCTATATTCTCCTCTAGGAATTTTATGCTGTTGCGAGTTATGTTTAAGCCTTTTATCCATCTTGAGTTTATTTTTGTGTATGGTGTCAGCTGATGATCCAATTTCAATTTTTTGCATGTAGCCGTCCAGCTCTCCCAACACCATTTGTTGAATTGGTTATTTTTATTCCATTTTGTCCTTCTTACCCCTTCGTTGAATATTAATTGACCATAAAGACATGGGTTTATTTCTGTGCTCTCTGTTGTGTTCCATTGATCTATGTGTCTCTTCTTATGCCTGTACCAGACAGTTTCAATTATAGTGGCCTTGTAATATATATAGTTTGATGTCAGGTATTGTGATCCCTCCTACTTTGTTTTTCTTTCTCAAAATGGCTGTGACTATTCAGGGTCATTTATAGTTCCACATAAATTTTTGAAATGTTTGTTCTATATCTGTGAAATACGTCATTGGTATTTTAATACGGATGGCGTTGACTCTATAAATTGCTTTGAGTAGTATAGATATTTTGATGATGTTAATTCTTCCAATCCATGAATATAGTATAAGCTTCCATTTATTTGTGTCTTCCTTAATTTCCTTCTTTAGTGTTATATAGTTTTCTGTGTACAGGTCTTTTACCTCCTTGGTTAAGTTTATCCCTAGGTACTTTATTTTTCTTGTTGCTATAACAAATGGGATTTTTTTCTGCTTTCTGATTCTGATATTTCATTGTTGGTATACAAAAAGGCCTTTGATTTCTGAATATTGACTTTTGCCAAATTCACTCACTAGGTAGAGTAGTTTTTTGGTGGAGTCTGTGGGGTTTTCCATATACACTATCATGTCATCTGCAAACAATAATTTTACTTCCTCTCCAATTTGGATGCCTTTTATTTCTTTTTCTTGTCTGACTGCTGTGGCTAGGGCTTCCAGTACTATGTTGAATAGGAGTGGTGAAAGTGGACATCCTTGTCTTGTTCCTGATCTTAGTGGGAAAGCTTTTAGTTTTTCTCCATTGAGTATGATGTTGACTGTAAGTTTTTCATATATGGCCTTTATTGTGTTGAGGTATTCCCCCTCAATTCCCACTTTGCTGAGTGTTTTTATCATAAATGGGTGCCTGTGCCTTATCAAATGCTTTTTCACATCTATTGATATGATCATGTGATTTTTTCTTTCTTTTTATTTATGTGATGTACTACATTTATTGGTTTGCGAATATTGAACCATCCTTGCATCCCTGGGATGAATCGCACTTGATCATGGTGGATGATCTTTTTAATGTATTGCTGGATGTGGTTTGCCGATATTTTGTTGAGGATTTTAGCGTCTATGTTCATCAGTGATAATGGCCTGCAGTTTTCTTTCTTGGTTGTGTCTTTATCTGGTTTTGGGATTAGGGTGATGCTGACCCCATAAACAGAGTTTGGGAGTCTTTCCTCTTCTTGGGTTTTTTGGAATAGTCTGAGAAGGACAGGAGTTAGCTCTTCCTTAAATGTTTCGTAAAATTCTCCTGTGAAAGTATCCGGTCAAGGGCTTTTGTGTACTGGGAGTTTTTTGATTGCTGTTTCAATTTCACCAGCTGTTACCAGTCTGTTCAGGCTTTCTGCTTCTTCTTCATTCAGTGTTTGAAGGTTATATTTTTCTATAAATTTGTCCATTTCAGCCAGGTTTTCAAATTTCTTGGCATATAATTGTTCAAAATAATTTCTTACAATCCTTTGTATTGCTGTGTTATCAGTTGTTATTTCTCCTCTTTCATTTCTGATATTATTTATTTGGGTCCCCTCCTTTTTCTCTTGATGAACCTGTTTAAGGGCTTGTTGATTTTGTTTATCTTTTCAAAGAACCAGCTCCTGGATTCGTTGATCCTTTTAATTGCTCCTTTCATCTCCATGTCATTCAGTTCTGCTCTGATCTTGATTATTTCCTTCCTTCTACTTGTTCTGGGCTTAGTTTGTTTTTGTTTCTCCATTTCTTGAAGATGTAGGGTTAGGTTTTTTATTTGAGATGTTTCTATGTTTTTTAGGTAGGCCTGTGTTGCTATGAACTTCCCTCTCAGGACTGCCTTTGCTGTGTTCCATAGGTTTTGGACTGTTGTGTGTTCATTTTCATTTGTTTCTAGAAACTTTTTGATTTCTTCTTTGATGTCATTATTGACCCATTGTTTGTTTAATAGCATTCTCTCCAGTGTCCATGAGTTTGAATGTCTTTGAGTTTTTTCCTTGAAGTTGGTTTCTAGTTTCAAGCCCTTGCAGTCTGAGAAAATGCTTGTTATGATTTCAGTTTTCCTGAATTTTTTGAGGCTTGTTTTGTGTTCTTTCTATCATGTGGTCTTTCTTTGAAAATTTTCCATGGGCATTTGAAAAGAACGTGTATTTTGTTAGTTTGGGATGAAAGCTATTTCTATCACTTAAGTCTATTTGGTCTAATGTGTTGTTCAGTTCCTCAATATCCCTGTTGTTTCTGATTGTCCTACATTTCCCTAAACACCTCTTCATTCTTTTTGAGTCTTTTTTCATTGTCTTGGTCTTTCTGGAACCTTTTGCTACACTGTCCTCCAGCTTGCTGATTTGATCCTTTGTGTTATGTAGTCTGCTTTTGATTCCTTCTACTGTGTTCTTCAGTTCAGAAATTGTATTCTTTCTTCCCTCTTGTCTCTTATTGATAATTTTTATGTCTTTTTTTCATGCTAATATAGTTTCCAGTAAGTTCCTCCTGGTTCCCCTGTAGTTTTTGGTAATTTTCTTTGAGCTCACTGAACTCACTGAGCTTCTTTTGAACCGTTGTTTTGAACTCAGTATCTGATAGTTTACTTGCCTCTATTTCATTTAGTTCTCTTTGTGGGGAGTCCTCCTTTCCCTTCGATTGGGAGGTGTTTCTTTGTCTTCCCATTATTTGTGAGACTTTTCTTTTTTGTTTCTGCTTCTTAAATTGATCAGTCTTGACTTCCTGAATTTGTTGTGTGAACGATCATAGGAGACCACTCTTTTTTTTTTTTCTTTCTGGATCTTCCTCTGAGGATGTCACTTCTTGATCCCGCCTGACCTTAGGCAGTCTTTTAGAGACTTCCCGGAATCTACTGTTTGTGGCTGTCTCCAGCAGTTGTTAATATAGTCACTCTGCACTCAGCAGTCAGGCTTAGGTACCACACGGCGGGGTAGAGTCTCTCTTCTGGGTGGGGCTATTGTTTCCTCTCATGCTGCTGTTGTATGAGAGAGGAGCCAGCACCAGCATCCTGCCAGCTGGTCATTCAGTTCTCTCCCTAAAGCCTCCTTCTCCAGTCTCTCCTCAGGTGTCTCCAGCTCACTCTGCCCTGGCCTTTGCCAGAGCCCAGGGTATGTGGCTACCAAAAAAAAATTTATATCTTGGCCCTTTAAATGGCTCTTTGCATCTCTAGGTACCTGTCTCTGGCATAGAGCAACCCTGCTGCTTTTTGCAGCTGGCTGTTATCTGAGTACTTTATGGGCTCTGGTGCTGTATCCTGGAGATCCCCATCTATGGTTCAGACCCCACTCTTCTCAGGGGATCCAATTGGCCATTTAGATATCCTTCTGGTGCTACTGCCCATGGGTGCCCTATCTACCTTCTCGAGTCTCTACTATACTTCTTACCAGTTAGGTTGTGCTAAAGCCAATTCTCTGTCCATCCAAGGTTTTAAGGTTCCTCTCTCACTATTGTTCAATGTTTTTCCAGGTGATTTCTCCACAATTTAGTTGTAATTCCAGACTGGTCCTGGGGGGTGGTCAGTGTGAGTTCTGTTCACTCCTCTGCCATCTTGAAGTCCCTCTATTTATCTCCAAGTCTTTTTTTATTTTTTAATGGAAGGGGAAAAAGCCTGCAATTTATTTTATAGTTAGTGCTACCTTCAAAGTATTATTTTGGTTTCCCCTCATAGCACCACAGTAGCAATGTTGAAGGCAGTAAATTGAGTAGACTGGTTTATCCCATCATAGCAGTTTGAGTGCCCTGCAATTTTTTAGTGTTCCTACCTATAAATTACTCTCATTGGTCTCTCTTTCTCCACCTACCTCCTTTCCTGGTCCCTCTATATACGGCATTTATTTTTCATTAATTAATTAATTAATTCATTTATTCATTTTTGCAAGATTGAACACAATTATTGAAAAGCTATTAGCATTACAAGTACATCATTACTTGGATTTAATCTCTACTGCCATGGGCTTAGTTTATCACTTCCTCACTCCCTTTCTCCATCTCTGACTCTCTCTTTCTTTCTTTCCTCCCTCTCTGCCTCCTTCTCTCCTTTCCTTCCTTCCTTTCCTTCTCTATAACCACCTTCTTCCTTTAGTGTTCTTTTTCTTTGGTGGTTTTTTTTTTTGTTTCATGTTTTTTGTGTCTTTATCTACCTTAATGATTAGAAAATGCACTGTCTTACTATCAAGCAGTAAGTAGACCTGGACCCTACCTTAACTTCCTGCACCTTTAAGCAGGTTAGGTATGAAGTGGGTCTGCCTGGTTTTTGTTTGTAAAGCAATAAAGAACCTTGTTCAGTGGTCTTAGTCAGAGAGTAGCCAGAAGAATAAGTGGTTGCTTTTCCTTGAAATATCTTCTCTACAAGTGGCCTTTTTCAGTAATTAAAAAAATTAGTTATGGTCAAATACACATAACATAAAATATACCATCTTAGCAGTATTTAAATGTACAGTTCAGTAGTGTTAAGTACATTCCCATTGTTGTGCAACCACTCTCCATAACTCTTTTCACTTTGCAAAACTAAAACTCTATACTCATTAGAGCAACATGGCATTCTCTCACCAGCTGCTGGAAACCACTGTTGTACTTTTTGTTTCTATGAATTTGATTACCCTAGGTACTTCATGTAAGTGGAGTCATACATCATTTGCCTTTTGATGACTAGCTGATATCACTTAGCATAATGTCCTCAAGATTCATCCATGTTGTAGCATGTGTCAGAATTTTCTTACTTTTCAAGGCTGAATAATATTTCATTGTAATGACGTACCACATTTTGCTTCTCCATTCATCCATCTATAGACACTTGTGTTGTTCCTACCTTTTAGCTATTGTGAATAATGCTGCTGTGAACATGTGTGTATTCAGTAGTGTTTTTAAAGGCAGTATGTTGACACAACATATATAGAGGGAGCAGAGTGAAACCAAGACCATAAGATACCTTGAAAATGTAAAAGTAAGATACTTTTTACATGTTTGCTCCCTGCTAACTGAGGTTGTAGGCCCTGTACCTGTGCTCAAGCCCTATGAATAGTACATGACTATCCACTGGCTTCACAACAGCTAGTCTCCTAATATGTATTCCATAAACAAGAAGGTTCTAGTGTACTGAATGTTGGGTGTTTCCTTTATTATTGTTGGCTCATAGTGAATGCGTACTTTATTGCTTACTCTTCCTATTATAGTTCCCCCTTCTACCCCTCACTGCCAAATCCAAGGATCCCAGGATATTGGCAGCGATGTCATCCTGCTCTGTAGCTCAGAGGAAGGCATTCCTCGACCAACTTACCTTTGGGAGAAGTTAGACAATACCCTCAAACTACCTCCAACAGCCACGCAGGGTATGTATGGTGTTGCTTTACTCATTTAATTAGTTACTGTGGAAAATTTCGATTCTAAGATTCACAAAGTAATTAACTTTAATGGATTTTGAAAACTAACATGCCATATTTATAGCTGCTGAAAAAGCTATCTGGATCATTTTGTGTTTTTAACTGTAAAGAAGATAAAACATTTCATTTTATCTTCTCATTCCTGATTTTTTATGAAATTTGTATTATCCAATGGTAACAAAAGGAAATTCTGTTCCATTATAGTGAAGTTTTAAAATTGCTCAATGGCAGCTTCGTTGTATTATTAACTGTAGCATGTGTCAGATACAACTGCTTATTTTAGTGTGAGAAGCATCAGCCTGATCACGAAAGGGTTAATCATCCTGTTTTCAGCCTCAAGTCTAATTAGAGAAGGAAGATGGGAAAGAGAACAGGAAAATGCTCCAGATCATCCAGCAGTTGATCACACCAGACAGGTAAACATGGAGAAGGCATGAGTATCATTGATGGTTTTCTACATGTAAAACCAGCTCTTTAAATTTGATATTAAAGGAGACACCCTTAAAAATTTGAGGAAAGTTTATAAAGTAAAATGAGGGAAATTATAGAATTATATGTAAAATTTATTTAAAAAAATAAAATTCAGCAGTTTCAGGTGTTGCATCATCTATAATGCAGAACTTGTTTCTTGTAGCATTTTCAGGGCACATTTACAAATCTTCAAAAGAGTTGGCAGTTAATGAAGAGGTCTAAGACAACCTTATTTATGCCTGATAAATTTGAGTCATGGAAAGGAAATTCCCAAATCATGTAATGAAGTTAGACGTATTAGAGAACCAGGACCACCAACCTCTTCAAGAGCTTATAAGTTTTAAGAATCCCAACAGAAATATTAAAGGACCTCCCATCATCTTTGAATTAACCTATCCCAGATTTCATCATTTTTAAAAAATTATTTTCAGCCCTTTTCAGTGTTGCTAAGTTGATTGAAGTGTTCAGTAAACTGAAAAGTTGCAGGTTCGATTCCTGGTTAGGGCACATGCCTAGGTTGTAAGTTTTGTCCTTGGTCGGGGCACGTATGAGAGGGAACGATTGATGTTTCTCTCTCACATTGATGATTCTCTTCCTCTCCATCTTCTTCCCTTCCCTACTCCCTGAAATCAACAAGCATGTCCTCTGGTGAGGATTAAAAAAAAAAACTTAAAAAACTTCTCTTTACCATAATAACTTTTGGGTTACCCTGATAATGATTACTGCAATACTGTTGTTCCTTAATTTTTTTATTGGGAAATGTTTTAGCTACACTGTGGACTAAATAGTTTTATTTGTGTACTAAGTTGTCACTCTCATCATTGTAAGTGGTATGTTTAAAATCTTGTCTTCAAATCCTGAAATTATATTCAAATTCTAGGTTTTTCTCTGACAGTTTTCTGTGACAGCTCACCTCTTTGGGCCTGGGTTACCCTTTTGTAAAATAAAGGGGTTAAACAATATCTCTAAGGTGATTTTTTTCATCTTAAGATTCTATGATTTATTATAACATTTCTTCGAAATATAGGATTGAGTTTGGAATTAGAAATGAATATTTAAAAGTGTTTGTATGTAAATTGCAAAATATCTGTAGAAAGAGCTTTCCTTACTTTTGGCTCTGAATAGATGTATACCTATCAAATTTATTGATATTTTCTTTGCAACTTAAATATTCTCTGATACTTTAGGGATAAAAGAGAACTTGAATGCAAAGATGAAAATGTCTTCTGTAACTCAAACTCTAGGTTGGTTATCATAATTACTTTAGATAATTTCATCTGTCATAATGCACATTACATGAGTCTGAGTTTTAATTTGAATTTACCTCTCTTTATTTTATTTATTATGCTATTACAGTTGTCCTGATTTTTCCCCCTTTGCCCCTGTCCACCAAGAACCCACCATACCCCACATAATTGTTCACGTCCATGGGTCATGTGCATAAGTTCTTTGGCTTCTCCATTACCTATATTGTACTTTACATCCCCATGGCTATTCTGTAACTACCTATCTGTACTTCTTAATCCCCGCACCTCTTCATCCATTCTTCCAAACACCCCTCCCATCTGGCAACCTTCTGGTAACTAATTTCTCTTCTCTTGCTGCTTTTAAGATTCTCTCTTTATCTTTAACCTTTGGTATTTTAATTATGATATGTCTTGGAGTGGGCCTCCTTGCATCCATCTTGTTTGGGAATCTCTGTACTTCCTAGACTTGCACGTCTATTTCCTTCACCAAATTAGGGAAGTTTTCTTTCTCTTTTTTCAGATGGATTTCCAATTTCTTGCTCTTTCTCTTCTCCTTTTGGCACCCCTATGATGACAATGTTGGACCTCTTGAAGTTGTCCCAGAGGCTGCTTACACTATCCTCATTTTTTTTGGATTCTTTTTTCTTCCTGTTGTTCTACATGGTTGTTTTTTACTTCCTTATGTTCCAAATCATGGATTTGATTCTCAGCTTCATCCACTTTGCTACTGTTTCCCTGTAAATTTTTCTTTATTTCAATTAGTGAAGCCTTCGTTTCTGACTGGAACTTTTTTATGCTGCTGAGGTCCTCACTAAGTTCCTTGAGCATCCTTATAACCAGTGTTTTAAACTCTGTATCTGATAGATTGCTTATCTCCATTTCATTTAGCTCTTTTTTAGGAGTTTTGATCTCTTCTTTCATGTAGGCCATGTTTCTTTGTCTCCTCATTTTGGAAGCCTCCCTGTGTTTGTTTCTATGTATTAGGTAGAGCTGCTTTGACTCCATGTCTTGGTAGAGTGGCCTAATATAGTAGGTGTCCTGTACAGTCCAGTAGCACAGCCTCCCCTATCACCCAGGCTAAGTGCTCAAGATGTACCCTTTGTGTGGGCTGAGTGCAGCTTCCACTTATAGTTGAGCCTTGGTTGCTATTGGCAGATCCATCAATGGGAGGGATTTATTTACCCAGGCCAGTCAGTTCCAAGGATTGTCTGTGATCACTGACCACCAACCCTTGTTCTCCATGGAGGATCAGCTGTGCAGGGACAGAGTGATGGTGCTCCAGTGTGGTCTGTAGCTGTTCACTGGGTGTGCTGGCCCTGGGGATTTCCTGGGTGCTGGCCAAGGTCAGCCCCCACCTGTGTTTTGCGCTCAGGCAACCTGCCTGGGCTATAAAGCAGTCTGAGATGGCTGCTACTTGTGCTGGGCTTGAAGATTCCTAGACAAAGTCAAGCAGTGATTCTAATCTGGCTGCTATTAGTGCCAGGCCTTGGACTCACTGAAGTCAGCTGTTGCTTGTTTCACAGGATTTAGGAAGTTGGGCAGTATGAGCCAAGAGCAGCCATTCATATGAAAAAGGAGTTTGGGTGGACCCGTAAGTTGGGTGGAGTCTCTGGGGATCTCCAAGGCCTGTCAAACAGTGTCAGCTAGGTTGTTGGCTTCTCAGAATTGGCACGAGCCTACTGGCTCTGTGCGGGAAGGGTTTGACAAAGGGGCAATGGCCTCTGCTTGCCATAATACCAGACAATTCAGTTTGTCCCTATATACCATGGTGCCTTTCAATCTGCCACCCTGGTGCTGGAGCTCAGAGGGAGTGAGTCTGAGTAGGTGAGTCCGTGTGTCGGCTCTTTAAGAGGAATTGCTTGGGGCTCCAGAAATTTCTTCCAGTGACTCAATCCCCACTGGTTTTTGCAGCCAGAAGTTGTGGGGACATACCTTCCTGGCACTGGAATCCTGGGTTTGGGGGCCTAGTGTGGGTTTGGGAGTCCTCGCTCCCAAGATATCCCTACTGAATTTTTATCCACCACACATAGGTGTGTGACCAGTCCATTTGGCAGCTGCGCCCCTCCTACTAGTCTCGATGGATATGGCTTCTTTAATTCCATAGTTGTCAGACTTTGATTCAACTCCACTTCATAGTTTTCAGACTTCTATTTCAGAGTCTACTCTGTTTAACTCAATTTTTGATGGGGTTCTGAGTGATGGTTGTTCTATATTTTAGTTGTAATTTTGATGTGGTTGGCCAAAGAGGTAAGCCATATCTGCCTATCCTTCCATCTTGACTGGAAGTCTAAATTTACCTCTTGATAGCTACTTTAATAAAGTAGATCTTAAAATAGCATTTAATCACAAAATGACTAGAATTTTTTTCAGATTTACTTTACTACTATGTTTGCATTTGCTTAATATAAACCCAAGATGCATTCTCTGAGAAAAGAATGTTTGATACCAGCAAGGAGTACCCCAAATGTATGACTAGTGACAGGGACATAATATTTGGGGGTTAGCATTGTCCTTGTATATAGGAGCTAGCTTGAAGGCATTTCTTTGGGCCAAATCTGAGACAATTTGAACATTAATATAAATATATAATTAATTGAATAAAATGAGAAGCCTTAAATCTCTGCTGATATACATAAATAAGTGGGAGAAAAGGGAAAGCATTTTCTTACAGTAGAATGCCTATTAATGTGCATAGAAGGATTGATAGATGGAATTATCTACCATCATTGATGTCAAAAAAGAGGAAAAGTGATAGGGCACAAGATATCTAAATAGTTCGAAAATATGTCATCATGAATTACTTAGTAATTACAAAAAAATAGTATAGTTGATCCTTGTACAACAAGGGTTTGAATTGCATAGGCCCACTTATATGCAGATTTTTTTCAATAAATACTATAAATGTATTTTCTCTTCCTTATGATTTTGTCTAGCTTTATTATAAGAACACTGTATATAATATACAAAATATGTGCTGACTATTTAGGTTATCCATAAGGCTTCTGGCTAACAATAGGCTATTAGTAGTTAAGTCTTTGGGGAGTCAAAAATTAAGTGCAGATTTTCTGCTGCTTGGGATAGGGGCATCAGTTCACCTAATCCCTGTGTAACAACTGTGACTTTATGGTAAAGAGACCAGGTGGATACCACTTTAACCAGGCGATCTAAACCTTACTGATACAGTGACAAACTGTCATCCTGTGCCTCTGAATCCTGGGTTGGCCAAAAAGACTGTGTGGTTTTTCCTGTAAAATAAAAAACACATTTTTCATTTTCACCAATAAGTTTATTGATTTGGATATTTTGAGTATGTCCACAATGCCCTGCATGGTATAACATTGATTGTTCTCAATTAATGTCTCAATTTGATCACTATCAACTTCAGTTTGTCTACCAACCGTGGAGAATTGTCCAGCGAGAAATCTCCAGCATGAAACTTTGCAACCACTTTTGACACGTTCAATCAGTCACAGCACCTTTTCCATACACTGCACAAATTTTTTTTTTGTTTTAGTTGTGTTTTTACCTTTCTTGAAATAATAAATCATAATATGCCAAAAATGTGTATTTTCTTTCATATTCAATTTTAAGATAACTACAGAAAAATTCACCAGTTTTTTTAAATGTGCACTGATATGACAGCTGTCACAATAAAATCTAACAAAATTGTTTTGAATGAGGTTAAAAACGACTAAGTGTTACTAAAGCCATCTTATGAAAAAAAAAATCCCCGAATGAACTTTTTGGTTAACCCAACAGGTGTGGAAGAGGTAACACATTTGAGACCACATAGCTGTAGGTGGTGGGGCAGACTGCAACCCAGGCTGAGTCTAGAACACATCCAGAAGTGGCTCTGGAACTAAGGAGAGAGGATTGAAGTGGAAATGTACACACATGTATTTCTTATTCTAAAGGGCATTTGAGTCCAGGTGCCTAGTTTGTATGAGATACAATGTTGCTGCAAACTAAAATAGTAGGGGGTGATGTCACTTGTGCTTTCAAATTATGTTGAACTTTCCCTATGCTTTAAAAGAAAGAAGATGAAAAGATCATTTATTGTCCAACTCTATTTCAACAAATTACTTCCATGCTAGAGCAGGCCAAGTGAAGTAACAGACTGAGGAGTTAGCCCATCTCTTTTCTGAAAGGGCCATGTGCTTGTGGCTGGAATCAGTCTGGTGCTTGCTGAAGAGGTGCACCTGGCTCCACTCTGCCTTGGCTGCACAAGCAGCCCCGAATATCTCTAGATCTTTAATGTGACATCATGATTCTAGTCTTTAAAATTCATGAACAGAAAAAAAATCTCTGCAAAAAACAAAAATAAAAAACCCTATTGATACCTCTAAAGTGTTTATTGTTATAGTCTTATCTTTTGCTGATTTCTTTGGTTTTCTCATTTTTCCCCCTAAATCCTAACTTGTTTGTTATTTTTCTGACAGACCAGGTCCAAGGAACAGTCACCATCCGGAACATCAGTGCTCTGTCTTCAGGTTTGTACCAGTGTGTGGCTTCTAATGCCATTGGAACCAGCACCTGTCTTTTGGACCTCCAGGTTACCTCCCGTAAGTATATGAAATTTTGATGTCCACTGTGGGTCTGAAACCAAGATCTTTGTTAAACTGGGGAATGAAGAGCACTGCCTAATTGTTTTTAGATGGTTTGAAAATTAAATATAAATTTGTTTGGTTTTAATAATTACTGAAAATATTTTATAAGTGTATTAGTATATGTTTCAGCCTTAGCAATATGAGATCTCCTTTATGACAACTGTCGTTCTCCTCAGAATCATTAGAATCAAATCAATTCTGATTGTATTATGCTATAGACATCATAAAATTTGTAATGATTCATGGCCATGGCCAAGACAAGACCTTTCTGTATTTTCTCCAAATCCTTTATATCAGTTTAATTATTGGGTACCCTGATCATAAATAAGCAGTGTGAAATTTTCCTTTTCAGTGGAGAATTCTGGGTTATTTAAATTCTAATCACAAAAGGAAGCACTCTGCCTACGATGAGGTGATGAGTTATCCCACTGATTGCTGGGTTCATTTGGGGCCGGCCGATCAGGCAGGTTAGACAGGTACCATCTTTTCCCTCTTCTGCTGTAGGCACGGCTTTTCTGATGCTGAGTCATGTACCTGTTCATTCCCTAAATACACATGAGCCTGCTCTGTGTTAGTCCTAGCCACCTGGGATACAGTAAGTTAAGGGAGGTTTAGCTTTATATGGATGCAATACTTTAGGCAATTTTGTACATTTTAAGAAGATTCTTTAGTAAATTTAAGTTTATAAAGTCGCATGGGTATATACTATTTCTCTTTCTCTCTTTTTTAAATTTTTTGTTCTTTAAATATACCTTAAATATATTTTGCAGCCCAGCCCAGGAACATTGGACTAATAGCTGGAGCCATTGGCACTGGTGCAGTTATTATCATTTTTTGCATTGCACTAATTTTAGGGGCATTCTTTTACTGGAGAAGCAAAAATAAAGAGGAGGAGGAAGAAGAAATTCCTAATGAAATAAGGTTTGTGTGTTAGATAATTTGTCTTGCTTAGCCAACCTCTATACTTCTATTCAGTCAGGCAACTGAAATTTCTTCGCTTATCTTACGACTGTGATGGCCAAGATAGTTAAAATGGCTAAATGATATTTTCTTGTATGTGATAACACTTTTCCCCATGGCTCCAGTCAACTTTATTTCCTGGATCATGAAAGGGGAGGACTAGGAGGACACAAGTGAATAATGCCCCTTTTTCCTCCCATATCTCTAGGGGAAGTGGGATTAGGTGGAAGCCACAGTAGAAAAGTTAGAACAATGTGTTTCACATTGACATATATCATAAGTGAGAACATAAAGCAAGAAGGAATACCATATAGCATACCAGTACCTATACACAGATAGGCCAAAGCATTATGGCTTTGTGTGAAACACAGTTCAGTCAAGAATATGATCATCTTAAGAAATAATGTCAAAACGACCTTTAAAGAAAAGTGACTCCTGGCATATTGTGGAGGTAATGGGGGTAAGTGATCAGGCTCAGTCTCAGACTGCATCGTGTCATACCCTTATTGAAAAGGCTTTAATGGCTCCAGTCTACTCAGCATTACACATGCAGCCCTTCAGGATCTGACCCTCACCTTCTTCCCTGGTTTTACCTCCCACCACTTCCCTGATCACTTTGTGTTCCATTCTGTTTTGTATTCTCTCATGCCTCAGAGCCTGTGCTCAAGCCTCTGCCCTCTTCCTGGGATATGCTCCTTCCTTTTTCATCCATCTCTTCAGTAAATTCCTTGATCTGACTCAAGACTAGTCCAGACATCACCTCCTTGTATAAGCTGACTAGTCCTTTGCCCCGCCTTGCAGAGTTGCATGTGCCTTTGCATTGATTTTCACCCCCATTTGACCATACATTTCTTGGCTGTTGGACCTGTGTCTTTTTTACATGAAACATCTAGTGGAATAGTACTCAATAAATGTTAAATGAATTAACATCTTAAATGAATGACTTCTCTTAGCTTCTTCTAATTCTTGTGGGTTCAGACTGTATGCAGGGACAGATTTCATCCCAGTACAAAATTACTGAGAAAATCTTTTCAGCAGACCAGAGTCATTTCTCAAACCCCAAAGTACAGTAAGTTCAGGGAACTCGAACCATTTCTTGAAGTTCTTTACACCAATCTCTTGGTTTCCTAGCTAACAGCAACTAGCTCAGTGGAGTTCTACATGGACTGTTTTCCTATTTAGAGCAAATATACACACAGATGTGTTCTTTTAGTTATATTGGAAGATATAAGTCTTTTGAGAGATAGAAATTACCTTTTCTAGCCTTGGAGACTGAGAAGCTGAGGGAAATTTTCTGGAGCAGTGTCTCAAAGAAAATGAATGTTGAAGCCAGGGCCACCAGGGCTGCGGTGGCCCCGAGGATTGGTATCGCACAGACGTATTAGCCTTAGCACAGAAGAAAGAGTCCTGGTAGGGTAAACCTTAAGTGAATCCTAATAATGACTTTATTTTGTTCCTTTTCAGAGAGGATGATCTTCCACCTAAATGTTCTGCCAAAGCATTTCACACCGAGAGATCCTCCTCGGAGAACAACACTTTGACCTCCTCTAATACCTACAACAGTCGTTACTGGAGCAACAATCCTAAAGTTCATAGAAACACAGAGTCATTCAACCACTTCAGTGACTTGCGCCAGTCTTTCTCCCTGCACTCAGGCAATGCCAACATACCATCCATCTATGCTAATGGGAACCATCTGATCACAGCTCCACATAAGACTCTGGTAGTGACAGCCAACAGAGGGTCGTCACCACAGGTTATGTCCAGAAGCAATGGCTCAGTCAGCAGGAAGTCTCGGCCTCAGCACTCACACGCCTACACTGTCAGCCGAGCAACCCTGGAACGAATTGGCGCCGTCCCTGTCATGGTGCCAGCCCAGAGTCGGGCCGGATCTCTCGTATAGGACAGAGTGGATAGAGCGTTTAGAAAAGGACCAGTGAAATGCCCCACACACGGGGTTGGGGGTGGTGGGTAAGTGCTGGGAAAGAAACTCTTTCCTTACCATGATACTAGTAGAAAGCACAAGAAGGCAAATGCTGTTACCTGGCCACTGAGATTTGTGAAATGAACCAGAATACTCTGTAATGAAGACTTGTTTCCCCACCACAGATGCCCCAAGATTCTACTCAGTAAGCTGGATCTCAAAGATGTGCCAAGCCAAGGAAGAACGTAAAATCTCAACTGCATCCAGGAGGGTTTGTTCTTTAGTTCACGCCTAATGTAATAATTTTTCAAGAGACTAAAGTGCCAGATGGAGTTTAAATAATGAAATATTTTAAAAGATTGCTATCTTTAGAAAAAACAGTGAACATCCTGAGATATCTCCTGCCTGTCCCCATTCCCTCTTTATGTAGAGGGCAAATGGCATGAATGGTTCATACTTGTGCCAACAGGGCTGGCTCTTGCATCACAGAATCAAACTTCTTACACAAGCAAAATTCAGTAAGAAATGGGAGAAAATGAAAGAAACTTCTTTGAGAAGCCCATTTATATTTATTTTTTGAACCACAAATTTCATATTTGGAATATTGCTCTGTTGACAGATTCTTGGCTGTCTCTGTTTTTTAGGGCCTGCTATAGGTCCATGACAATTACTGCTCATTATTTCCTGGGAAATTTTTTTTAAACTATTGGTTTTTTAAAAACAATACATGAGGGGCATTGGACTAGGGAAAGAAAAGACTGTTGTTACCACATTTGGGGACTATTCCTTGAGCCCACAAGGTCCATCATGAAAGAGGTAGGTGTGGGAGCAGCTCAGGAGAGGAAGACAAGCAGGTCCATGGGACTGGACCTTTCCTGGCAGCCTCTCGGAGAAGGCTTCCAAGTCTCCCTGCTCTCACACTGGGTTCCTCTTAATGAGGGCAGCACTCGATGCCTTTTGTACTGAGGAAGATAGCTTTCTCCTTGTTTCACAAGTAGGGGTTAGGTTAGTAGGTTGTTACAGGCCAGGAGATGTTTTGTTTAATAATTATTTTTGCAAAAGATGGTACTGAGACAAAAAGGATGTGTCTTCAGGTATGCTCCTGGGAGGATCTGCCCTATATTTGTCAGAGCTCAGGGTTGCAATAGTGCCCAAATGCATTTTACCCCCCTATAAAGAGACTCCTTTTGTGATTATTAACCTGGCGTGGCTGGCCTTGGAATTCAGCAGGTAATGTACAAACTCGCCACTCTACTTTGTGCTATGTAGAGCTGGCCATACTTGGATGGGTGACTATTTTGCCTTAATCACACTTTAATCAACACACAAATGCTTTCTTCCCAGACTTAAAAAAAGTTATTTATGATACTGATCCCATGATTCCATAAGAGTGTCTTTTCTATTCCTGATGTCTCTCGCTCCCTGTTTCCACTACATCCTTTGTCCTCTTTTCCTGAAGGCACCATCATCACAAGGAGTGGCCCCCTGATTTTCAGACTTACTTGAATAAATGGAAACCAGCAGCTTCTGCATACACTAGTTTCCAAGAATGCTAAGCCCAGAACATAACCATTCCAATATTGATGAAAAGCTGAATTTACTTTAGCATTACTTATTTTTTTTCATTTGATCGTTCTTGACTTTGTAAAAAATTAAATAAGTGAAAGTCTATACTTTATAATAAGGAAAAGTGTGAAACTACCATGACACAGAGAAGATGATATTGTCAGATATTGTTCAGAAAGCATTTATCTTGCATTTCTTTATTCTTTCTAATTATCTAAAATTTAATAAAAGTTTATTCATATAAAAACAAGTTGTTGTTAATTATCATAATACTAACAAATAGTTGATTATGTGTTCCCCTTAATCTTACAAGCACTTTCCAATCTGTGCAATCATATTCATAATCATTTTAATGAACATATAATATGTGGTCTGTCTAGAAGGTATCCAGCCGTGTAATATGAAAAGTAGAGACATTTATTGAAGATACAAGAGAGACTGTACATATAATAATAATACCTCAGTGTCCTTCAGTGTAGGCACCTTGGGACCTCACACAGTTCTCCCAGCTACCATCAGCTGCCCTGTCATGTTTTCCTGAATCTCATCAATGGTTTGAAATCTCTTTCCTTTCAAAGGTGATTCTAGTCTTGGGAAAAGCCAGAAGTTGCAGGGTGCCATATCTGGGCTGTAGGAGGGTAGGTAACCTGGGTGATTGATGTTTCACCAAAAAAACTTTGCATGATTGGAGATTCAGATGGCAGAAGAGTGAATGGGAGTCATGCTGACCTCCTCCTCCCAAGACCAAACTGGAATTGCAACTAAATAGTGGAGTAATCACCTGGAAAACAATGGAACGATAGTGGGAGAGGAGCCTTAGAGCCGTGGACAGACAGTGGATTCGACTCTCACACATCCCAACGGGTGAGAAGTGCGGTGGAGGCTCGAGAGGTTGGGCTGGGTGCCCACGGGCACCAGCACCAGAGGGACATTGAAACGGCCAGTTAGCTTCCCCCGAGAAGAACGGGGTCTGAATCATAAACAGGGACCCCTAAACTACAGCAGCTAAAACCAAGACAATACAGACAAAACTCAAACCCAAAAAGCTTAGGGGCACTCTCTGCCAGAGACAGGTGGCTGGGGATGCAAAGAGACATTTAAAGGGCCAACACAAAAATTGCAGTGGCAGCCACCCTCCTTCATCTCTGGGTAGAGGCAGCAGCAGGGAGGGCTGGTGCCTGGGAAAAGACTGGTGAGTAAAACTTTGTGAAGAGAACTGAGACAGAGGCCAGTGGATCCCTGTTGATAATGCACCTCCCACTCTGCAGCTACCATCTCGCTCAGGCACAAGGGAATCAATTAACCTACCTTTTGTGCGCTCCGCTCACAGCTTGTGCACGTGTGAGCTGGGGGGCTGAGTGCAGACTGGCTGGGAGAGCCTGGAGGAGAGACTGGAGACGGAGCCGCTGGGGGAAGAACAGGAGGAGGAACCGGGGAGTCCCGACTCCCTTTCTGTTGTAGTCTCCATTGTGGGCTAGAAAGGCATGCCCCCAGAAAGGCAGAAGCGGGGTGCGCAGGAACCAGGCTGCCTGCAATTGAAACGCAGTCCGCACAGGGGGTGGATCCTTGGCCGAAGGGGTCACAGAACTGCCCAGAGACCCCTGAGGAGAGACTGGAAACGGAGGCGTTGGGGAAAGAACGGGAGGAGGAACGGGGGAGTCCTGACTCCTTCTCCTTGCCGTAGTCTCCATTGCGTGGGAAGAGGCCACACCCCCAAAGAGCCAAAAGCTGAAAAGCACACATGGACACCCCAAAAACACCCAGTGCAGGCACGCACACTTGTGCCGAGTGGCTGAGGGTCGGCGAGTGTGTTTGTGGACCCACGTGGGCTGGCGAGGGCTCGCACAGATTGGCACCAATATGGTCTGCGAGGCAGTGCACAGAGCGGCAAGGGCAGGCGTAAATTGACCCGCGGGGCCGTGATTGCGGAGCGGCTCACAGAATTAGTAGATCCCCGGCCGAAGGGATCACAGAGCTGCCCAGAGTCCCTGGAGGAGAAACTGAAGACAGGATTAACCTGAGAATCCCGGAGCTGACTTCCTCCCATTTCCATAGTCTCCATTTGGCGAGGGCAAGCAAAGCACCCAAGAGACAAAAGCGGCGAAAACACACAATAGAAGACCCTAAACTGACCAGTGCTGGGGTGCCCGCCGGCCAGGGGGGCCAGACGAGTACACGAGGTCGCGAATAAGCCCCCTGGTCTGGGGCAAGCACATGCGAGCCCAGGCAGGTGGGGGATCCTGCCGTGCTGGGGAGCGTGCTGAAGAAGCCGGCATGAGAGTGCAGAGCGATCCAAAGAAATAGTCCATCCCTGAGCAAAGGGGTCACAGAGCTGCCCCAAGCAAGAGTCAGACACAGACAGTAGACTCCTGGAAGGCTCAAACAAACGACCCAAGGACATATAGGGTCAACAACTGACATCATCAGATGCAGGCCCAGAAAGAAAAGTAAAGGGAAAAATAAATAAATAAATAAAGAGACACACCTACTACCATAGAAGTTTAATACACAAAGTCAGGAAATCTAGACAGCCCAATTGAAGCATAAGCAAATATAGATAAATAAGTAAATTACTTAACAGACTCTCACAAAAATGGAAAGAAAAAGAAGTTCCCCCCAAATGAGTGGAAAAGGGGACTCCCCACAGAGAGAGCTAAATGAAATAGAGGCAAGGGAACTATCAGATACTGAATTCAAAACCTTGGTTCTAAGGAAGCTCAATGAGCTCAGCCAGCTCAAAGATAACTATGAGAAACTGCAGAGAAACTATCAGGATCTTACAGCAAACTATATCAGCCTGGAAAAGGACATAGAAACTATCAAGAAGACACAAGAGGATATGAAGAATACCATTTCTGAATTGAATAACACAGTAGAAGGAATCCAAAGCAAGCTGGATGAAGCCAAGGATCAAATCAGTGAGCTGGAGGATAAGGTAGAAAGAAGCTCCCAGAAAGAACAAGAAATGGAAAACGACTCAAAAAGAATGAAGAGGCATTTAGGGAAATGCAGGACAACCTGAAACGCAATAATATCCGTATAATAGGGATACCAGAAGGAGAAGAAGAGGAGCAAGGAATAGAGAACCTCCTCGAAAAAGTAATGATGGAAAATTTCCCCAATTTGAGGAGAGAAAGGCTCTCGTGGATCCAGGAGGCACAGAGGACCCCACTCAAGAGGGACTCAAAGAGGTCCACTCCAAGACACATCATCATTAAAATGGCAAATGTCAAAGACAAAGAGAGAATCCTCAAGGCAGCAAGGGAGAAGGAGAAAGTAACATACAAGGGGGCCCCGATACGCCTGGGAGCTGACTTCTCAACAGAAACACTACAAGCCAGAAGGGAATGGCAACAAATATTCCAAGCCATGAAAAGCAACGGCCTACAGCCAAGGCTGCTCTACCCAGCTAGGCTCTCCATTAAAATAGAAGGAGAAATACGGAGTTTCCCAGACAAAAGAAAGCTAAAAGAATACATCTCTACCAAACCAGCACTCCAAGATATGCTAAGGGGACTGGTTTAAGCAGATGAAGGAAAAGAATGAGACAGAGAGGAACACAGGTACAAAGAGAAAAAATGAGTAAGTTTCTATCAGTAATATCTCTCAATGTGAATGGACTAAATGCCCCAATCAAAAGACACAGGGTAGCTGAATGGATAAGAAAGCATGACCCACACATATGCGGCCTACAAGAGA